ATAGATTGTGACGGAGCATTAACAGATGCTAATGATAGGGGTAGAGTTAGTCAATTGTTAGAAACAATAAGGATAGTGTTAATCAATTTTCAAACACTAAGGATACACTTAATCAATTAGCTAAACCATAAGAGTAGTTTAAGAAGTTTACCCTCAAAATAATCAAATAAAAGATTTAAATCTCCTTGAAACTAAATCTTCGTCTGGAACCAAAGTATATATGATCGTTTTTCTCATCTCTGGCGAGTCAAGCTCCATGAGAAAATTAGTTAGTTAATTGCTATCCTACACATGACACGGCGAAAGAGTGAACTCCATATCAGAGTTGTTGTTTTTTTCTACTATTTTAAAATACTTTTCTCACCCATTAAAAAGTTAGAAAGTCTAACTTGGAATCTAATGAGGGAAGATTCGACCCTCCACTAACATCATGACACATGGCATCTCGGAACAATTAGGTGACACCCATAACCACCTAGGTGACAACTTGCCTTAGCCAAAATGGGGGAGTCCCAGCTAGTGACCTGGCACTGTCGTCGACCTGGTGACCTGCCTCTAGTGCCGACCTGGCGACCTGCCTCTAGCGCCAACCTGGCGACCTGCCTCTGGCGCCGACCTGGCGACCTACGAGACATGCTCGCCGTCGTTTTCTGTATGCATCCCATCACTCCCGGGTCTCTCAGAAGTCAGCTCCCACATTGAATGTTTTGGGAGAAACCGAGTAAGACACAAATATTGGCTTACGTGCACGACTACCTCCGAGGACTTTGGAGCAATTAGGCACGTCCTCCAGAGATCCCGGATGTGTTGCGTGATGCTCACGCCAAACAATGCCTATATAAAGGCCTTACCTCCAACCTCAGGGGGGGAGGCACAATTTAATTCTTGCAGCTCTCCAACTCTCTCACATTTAGCTATCTTAAAATCTCTTATTTGCTAACTTAAGCATCGAAGTGCCCACCCCGAGTAAAGCAACCCGAACAGTCTGACACTGTGTCCTTGCAGGTCGCATCAGAGCCACCTCTCCAGCTCGTCACCACTCAGCTAAACATCAGAGCCACCTCTCCAAATTGTCACCATTCAATTAGGCGTTAGAACCACCTCTCCAGCTCGTCACCATTCAGTTAGGCGTCAGAGCCACCTCTCCAACTCATCACCATTCAGCTAGGCGTCCAAGCCACCTTCCAGGTAGGAACCATTCAGCTAGGCATCCAAGCCACATTCCAGGTAGGGATTATTCAGCCAGGCATCCGAGTCACCTACCAGCCGGGAGCTGCCGAAAGGCGCTTCATCAATTGGCGTCGTTTGTGGGAAACGCTACAAAAGGCTATTTTCTCACCTGATTCTCTGAGCCTCAAGTAATAACATCTTCAAGCAACAACAACAGCGCTTGATCGAAAGAGGCCCCCTAGGGGGGCAGAAGCAAAATGATTAGCCCAGACAAGTTCTCGCAATCTTGCCCTGACAGAATCTCCCTAACTGTGAGGCCACCCCCATATGTTGAGCTCTATGTGCTCTCTACGAGAGCTGACGACCAATAGAATGTGAAGCCACCCCACAAGTTGAGCCTTCCGTGGTTCCCATGGGAGTTGATAGCCAACAAACTGTGAGGTCACACCGCAGATCGAGCCCTCTTTGCTTTACATGGGAGTTGATGGCCAGTAGGTTGTGGAGCCACCCTCGCAGGTCAGTCATGCCGAGGTGACGAGGTGTCTGTATGCTGAGGTGTTGAGAGCAAAACTAGACTGTCAAAATTCTGACGACCTGGCGACACACGTAATCAGCCTAGACGAGCCTTGTCAGCCCTGTTTGCGAGGTCGAGCCCTTTGTGGCTCCCATAGGAGTCGGCGGCCAACAGACTAAAATCGCCCTTGCGGGTTGAGCCTTTCAAGGTTCTTGTGTGAGCTGGCAACTTGCAGTTTGTAAAGCTGCCCCCACAGGTTAAGCTCCTTGTAACTTATCGTAGGAGTAGATGACCAGCACCTTAAAGGACTGATACAACGCATCCATGGCACCGACCCGCTATTTAAATTCCAGCATCGACGCACATATCACAAGGGGAAGCCAAACTGCGTTCAGCATCAAGGATCCCTAAGCCGACCTCAAAATATGTTGGTAACAAGCCTAAGGACCTACAACGAAGCACAAATCTACTCCCTTCACTGAGCTTATCTCAGCTTGGGAGTGGGGGCAATTGTTGAGGGCAGATACGACCCTCCACTAACATCATGATACATGGCATCTTGGAACAACTAGGTGACACCCAGAACCACCTAGACGGCAACTTGCCTTAGCCAAAATGATGGAGTCCCAGTTAGCGACCTGGCGACCTGCCTCTGGTGCCGACCTGGCGACCAGCCTCTAGCGTCAACCTGGCAACCTACCTCTAGCGAAGCTTGCCAGTTGTCTCCGAACCCTTCAGGATCACGACGCGTAACCGTAGGCCTCTTCATCCCACCTCTATCGGCGACCTAGCGACCTGCCCCTATTGCTGACCTGGCGACCTGCCTCTAGCGCCGACCTGGCGACCTACCTCTGGTACCGACCTGGCGACCTGCCTCTAGTGCCGACCTAGCGACCTACCTCTAGCGCTGACCTAGCGACCTGCTCCTATTGCCGACTTGGCGACCTGTCTCTAGCGCCGACCTGGCGACCTGCCTCCATCGCCGATTTGACGACCTGCCTCCATCGCCGATTTGGCGACCTGCCTCTAGCGCCGACCTGGCAACCTACAAGACGTGCTCGTCGTCGATTTCTACATGCATCCCATCACACCCGAGTCTCTCGTAAATCAGCTCTCACACCGAATGTTTTGGGAGAAACCGAGTAAGGCGCAAAGATTGGCTTACGTGCACGACTACCTCCAAGGACTTCGGAGTAGTTAGGCGCGTCCTCCCGGAGATCCCGGACATGTTGCGTGATGCTCACGCCAAACAATGCCTATATAAAGGCCTTACCTCCAACCCCAAGGGGGGAGGCACAATTTAGTTATCACAGCTCTCCAACTCTCTCACATTTAGCTATCTTAAAATCTCTTATGCGCTAACTTAAACATCGGAGTGCCCACCCCAGGTAAAGCAACTCGGGCACTCTGACACTGTGCCTTGCAGTTCTTATCAAAGCCACCTCTCCAGCTCGTCACCACTCAACTAGACATCAGAGCCACCTCTCCAACTCGTCACCATTTAGTTAGGCGTCAGAGCCACCTCTCCAGCTCGTCACCATTCAGTTAGGCGTTAGAGCCACCTCTCTAACTCGTCACCATTTAGCTAGGCGTCCAAACTACCTTCCAAGTAGGAACCATTCAAACAGGCATCTAAGCCACATTCTAGATAAGGATTATTTAGCTAGACATCCGAATCACCTACCAGCCGGGAGCTACCGAAAGGCGCTTCATCAGAATCTATGTCCCTTCATTTTTTTTTTCTTCTTTTGATTAATTATTGTTATTAGCAAACCAACAAATGATTCTCCATGCCAATCTCCAATTTGGAAAATTAAAACTTGTTAAAATACCTTTCCGGATGATGTATTGATTAATTTTCGTCTTTAATCAAGTAATTTCAAACTATTGATTAATTTTCTTCTTTAATAGCTGATGGTGAAGCTAATTGTAGCCTTGTTGACCCATGTAAAAAGCTTAAATTCCCCGAAGAAGTTCTAAATTGAATATCAGTTTCATTTTTATTTTCTTAGTCTTGGACTCTTGGGTCATTATTGTTAAATGAGCAAAGATGGTTCAGCTGCGCGCGGTTTCAGGATGGGGAAATAGTGAGAGATACTAATACTGTGCTTTACCTTTGAAATAATGGGTTTATGTGTTTGTTTCACCGGAGATGAGAAGGGTGATTATGCTTTAGTTCCTGCTGAGATTATTTTCAGAGAAGGATTAATTGCGGCAAAGAACGAATAGGGATATTTGAACTGTGATTATTTTGAACTAGACGAAATAGACAAGTAAGAAACCCTAACGGCATTTTGTAAATTATCCCAACGTCAATCATTGAACTGACAAATTTGACATGGCACAAGAGGGAACGTGATCCAATGGAAGCTTGAGTCTTTTGCCCAATAAGCTAGGTAAACCTCTTGTTTATGGAAAATCTTTAGCTGTGGGGGGCCAATAGCCTATGCTGTAAAGAAAGAATTTCAAGAAAAAAAAGTGTTCAATCCAACAGTTTAAAATCAACTTAACACCAATCTGGATCTCTTACTCACAAGATCCTACCCACACCTACACGAGGATGATATAGCCGTATATTAGAAATATTTTCTCATGAATAATAACAGTAAATATGGAAGATGTTCTCAATTTACAATTGTAATATCTTGTGAATAGGTGTGTGTAGGAGATCCTAAGTTCCCAACTCACTTAACAAGTGACCCAGTGACCAAGAGAGAGATATCTAGATCTTTCTCCTGAACAGACGGTTGAAGTGGCAATTCTTAATTGAGGTAGAAAATCTGAGATCACATCAGCGCCCCACAGGTGACTCACATACACACACCTCAGCGTGCTGTCAATGGGAGATGTTTTCAATAGACGGTTGGGATAATGTTGTGAGCGCTTGTGGGGCGCTGATGTGATCTCAGAAAATCTATCTCCGCCTCGCAAGCCGACGTGGACGAGAATCAACCGCTACTTCAATTTCCCAACTTTCATTCTCTCATTTATTTTTTATTTCATGAAATCGCAATTTCTAATTTTCTATGATGCTGGAAGGGTATGATACCCGAACAAGTGTGGCCAAATTGGATAAATACCCGTTGATTGGGCACCACTTTTTTTATACCGATTGATTGGCAGATTTTTAGCCATCATGCATTTTCGGTATCATAGCCTAAACGTCTCTCGAAGACCGGTACTTTCCAAGCAAACGACGTGGCGCCCAAACCAACCGCTACTTTCCATCTTCTCAACAAGAAATGCTAAACTACGCACATCGCGTACAACGCACTGTATCACCGTCTTTACCTTCACGAAATGGAGGAACTTCGAATGTTCCAGTCACTTCCTTGACACCTTACACCCTGTTTTATCCCACTCCACCAGCGCACATTAGCACCTTCTCTACATATTTGCAAAACTTACGAGCGGGAAAGCTCTCCTGTAGAATGCGAGCTTCATCTTCTCTCTACCAACTCCCTGGATCTCGTCTGTTTGTTCATCACGCCGCTTCAATTCCTCCAATGGTGTCGAATTCTCTGCTTTGGTTTCGTAAGGGCCTTCGTATCCACGACAATCCAGCTCTGGAACACGCTCGTAAGGACGCGACTCATCTTTATCCAGTCTTCATTCTTGATCCACACTTTCTCGAGCCCGACCCGACAGATTTTTCCCCTGGTTCTGCTCGTGCCGGTTTGAATAGGATTCAATTCTTGCTCGAGAGCCTCGTTGATCTCGATTCAAGTCTCCGGAAACTTGGGTCCCGTTTGTTAGTGTTTAGAGGCGAGCCTGTCGAGGTTTTGTTCCGCCTCTTAAAGGAAGTAAGCTTCTTTTTTCTGCATTTTAATTCTTGTCTTATACCTCAAACGAGATCAAGTTTTATACATTGATTTTTTTTTTCTTTTCTCACAGCTCTATTTATACGCTAAGTGCATTGAAGGATATTTACAATTTCTTGATACAAGAAATAAGAAATTTTTAAATACTCTTAGATTAAAGTAATTATTACTGAGCTTTACAAGTATTTTTGTTCCAGAATTCTATAAACTTGCAGAGTCTGAAATATGGTTTTGAGAAAGGCCCATTAGGTGAAGCTCACCGAGTATGCTCAAGCTGAGAGTGCTCATTTGATTGCTTGACATCACAAATTTCCTAAAATATGAAATGTCCCTGTCCAGTGTGGACTATCTCATAGAAGAGTGTTTCTATTTGCTAATACCCGGCATCTATAAATTGAGAAGGTTGAAGTACTAGGGGGTTGAACTATCCGAAAAAAAAACAGTACTCGGGTGTTGGTGATGCAATCATATGATAGCTTAAATGTGATATGTAAGATCTGAGAACAATTCATCTCACCCATCTCCAAATAGTATATCTTTTCTTTTTTATTTTTACAATTTGCTACACTTACCAGTTTCCATATGTTGTGCACCTTAACATCACATGGTTTCTATTGATTCTTGCAGTGGGGTGTCAAAAAACTTTGCTTTGAATATGACACAGAACCATATTACCAAGCTATGGATGATAGAGTCAAGGTTAGGACTACTTACCCCCTACCTCCATTTTAGCAACATCAAAAACTACTCTCTATTGTATCTTACTATTTTTGCAATTGAGCTAGTTGCTGAAACAATACATGACCTTTGAGTTCAAATTATTTTCTGAGGCACTTCTCCTGCATTTCTGTTTTCCCAGTTGAGTGGAAACTTTGGGAATTCTCTATTTCATAACTTCTTTTAACGCTTAATAGGACCACGCTTCTGCACTTGGAATGGAGGTTTTCTCTCCTGTGAGCCATACTCTCTTCAATCCTGTAAAGATAATAGAGAAGGTAAGCTCAAGATAGTGTACCCCTTTGTTTTGCTTCTATTATGTCCACTTTGTTGTTGATCAAAGTTATAAGTACTGGTGTCAATTGGACTGGATTTGGTCCAATCCGGTCCAGTCCAATGTGAGTCCATTACAAATGAACCAGGTCCAATCCAATCCAATAAATATTTTCGATCGGTCCAATTCAATGTTTGGACTGTCTAATCTGTTCAAATTCATTTTAATTTAGATTGGTTTCAACCCAAACCCGGTCCATTGACACCTATATTTGTATCTTATGTCAATGGATCGAATATTGGCTTAATCCAACCGAATCCAATATAAATTTATTACGGACGGACCAGGTCCACTCCAATCTAATAAATATTTTGGACCATATTGGTCCAATCCAATATGTTTTGTTGGTCCGTCCAATCCGTCTAAATTGAATTTGGACTGGACAGGGTCCAGTCCAAAACCAGTGCATTGACACCCTTAGTTATAAGTGCAAACCTGTAGCTTTCTTGCTTTTCAGGAAGTGATCCTGGTTGGTTTTATGAGTTTTATGTGTTACACTTTCTGAATTGGCAATATTCCTCTTTGCATTTGCTAATATCCAAACAGAATGGGGGAGCACCACCGCTGAGTTATCAATCATTTCTAAAGATTGCTGGGAAGCCCTCACCCCCACTTTCAACAACAATTTCTTGGCTTCCTCCTATAGGAAATGTTGAAGATCTTGAAATATTAGGAATTCCGACAATCAAAGAACTTGGCTATGGAGATATTAGACAGGTATTAAGCCAAAAATTCTCATAAACAAAATGAGTGCCTTAGATTTATTCACAAGAAGTTTGTGTTGCAGGATGAATTTTCTCCTTTCAGAGGTGGTGAGTCAGAAGCATTGAAGAGGTTGAGAGAAGCACTTAATGATGAGGTCTGCTTTTTATTGATTTGAGGTTATTTTAGTTTTATTATCTTTGCTTCTGCACACTCAACTCACAAGTCATATATTAAATGTATATTCCTATTTAAGAAAATTGAGATTCATTGCTAAGAGGAAAGTTACAACTCATAAGAGTTATGCCCAACTATTACTATTCTAAAGATATGGTCCTCTTAAATTCTACTTATTGTTCCAGTCCATAATCCACACGAAACCTCTACCAGGGTTCCTTCTCTGTATCCTTAATAGAGTAAGTGGCCTTTAACATTAACCTTACAGACAGAATAGAGACTTGTAAAAATATTGCAGAAATTGTTGTTCTGACATGGATGGTTGCTAGAACAAAAGATTTTGTTATACTTCATTTGCATTCTTATGAAGCGAATGCTATTGTAAAGAATTAGCCTGGTTATTTAGTCAAGTTTAGGTTACTCCAGTTATTTTGTATTTTTAGGCTTGTCTTGAACCTTTCTTTTATTAATGTTTTCATGATCCTTATATTTTATTTATGGATGTTAGTCCACTTACTTAAACTTCTACCATGGACTGGTGGTGTTAGGGACTGAATTCTGAATGCTTAAAAGATTCCAATTTGAAAATTGAGTTCAGCATTCAGTAACTGGCCCCTCATTGCTGGATGCTGGAAAAGATTCCATTGCTGGGTGATGACACCTGAAAATTTGTATATGTCAACAATACCCTTGGGTTTAAAAGTATTTTTAAATTGGAGTCTTTTCAGCTTTCGGCAATTGGCACCAGCTCCCTACTTGATCCACTGTCAACAACTTTGTAAGATGTTCTTTGAAAGGCTTATGCCAATTTAGAATTTAGGTTTAGAGTTTTGCTTCACTACTCTTCCCTTTCTCCCTTTTCTTTAGAAAGTTCTCTTGTAAATGTTGATCATTATGGGACTAAGACAGTCTTCTAGTAACCATGTGGATTATCTTTAGCTTATCATGAATGTAATAATAGTTGTGTTTGATGTTCTACTATTGAGTGATATGTATTTTTTTTTTTTATTTGAGGGGTCATTACTTAGTGCAATGGTAAAATATCAGGCTAACAAGCATGAAAATATGAGTTCAAGTATGACAGTGGCCACTTTGTGCAAAAAATGCCAAAGGAGGTCCACATCCAGGCCAAACCTTCAAAGACCCTGGATTTCCAGGACCAACATTGCTTAATGGCCCTTTACGAAGTTTTATTTTTTATTTTTTATTTTTTATTTTTATTTTTTTTTTAAGTTACCTATCTCTTTTGGTAAATGATTGGTTACTAAAAAACCAGAATAAGAGATACATGTAGCATAAAGGCAGAACAGCTGCCTGCTCTGATGAGGAAGTTGTATTGATCCACTACTTGGCTTTTGGTTCAGTGTAAGTAAAAACTATCGTAGCTTTGAGTTAATTTTGTATATATCACCTTAGCTCTGGATTCATTGTATTGCAGGAGTGGGTGGCAAGCTTTGAGAAACCAAAGGGCAACCCATCTTTATTTTTGAAGCCAGCAACCACTGTTTTGTCTCCATATTTGAAAGTGAGTGATAATAAGAAGAAACCATCTTGGAAATGGGCATTATTTTATCCTTCATCAACTTTTGTCATGGGATTGCAATTTACAGACTGGAGAATTGCTAGAATTATATTTTAATAATTTATAGTTGATCAGTATTTTTCTATTTTATTTCTTATTTATTTTTTCTTGTTTTTTGGGCAGTTTGGCTGTCTATCTTCCAGGTATTTTTACCAATGTCTTCAAGATGTGTACAAGAAAGTCAAAAGGCACACATTACCACCAGTTTCACTGGCTGGGCAGGTAGTATGACTGTTTGCAGCTTTTCACTAGTTTTTTTCTTTTCTTTGAAGAAACAATCAAACAATTAATTTTACCTCTCTGTAGTTGTTATGGCGAGAATTTTTCTACACGGTGGCTTATGGCACTCCAAATTTTGACAAAATGAAGGGCAATCGAATTTGCAAGCAGGTAACTATTATGTAATGGTTTCATATCTTCTGGTTCATGAATTGGTACATCATCTGTAAACTGAAATTTCTTGGGTGAATTCATGTGTTCGTCAAGTAGATAGTTCTTAACATCTTGTTTGAGTTCCATACATGTAAAATTATGATTAGCTCATTGTGTCATTATTGGAAAATTTTCTATTTAGGCTTAGTTTGGAAGGAATACAAATACAAATATGTAGAATGCAAAACCTTATATTTTGTATTATTGTGTACGCATTGACACTGTACATATTTGCATTTGTCCTCTTTCCAAGTCTCAGTTTGGAAGGAGTACGAATACAAATATGTACAGTACAAATACATACAAAATAGTATAAAATACAAGTTTTTACACTCTACATATTTGTATTTGTACTCCTTCCAAACTGAGCCTTATTATTTTCATACATCAATGCAATTCCAATTTGTGAGGTTGTATATGATAAAAAAATAGATGATCTTTCATGGTAATTCAAGAGGGATAGTAGTAATTTAGATTTTGAGGCTTTATATCAGTTATAATATGGATTAGACTAAGGGCCCGTTTGGTTCACAGTTGGAATCGGAATCAGAATCCCCCAAAATCGAATCAGAATGGTCTATTCCCCTCGCCTGTTTGGTTCAGGGTGGAATCGGAATCGGAATCAGAATTGACTGGAATTGATTCTCATTCCCAGGGGAGGGGGAGGGAATGGCCATTCCCTCAAATGGAGGAATGCCATTCCAGCAGGAAAGGGCATGGGATTCCGATTCCGCCCAACCAAACAATTGGAATCGGAATGGACCATTCTGATTCCAATTCCAGACCCCTGTTCCCGGAAACCAAACAGACCCTAAATTCTGCAGAAGCAGTAGAACTTATTATACAAACTTGTAGAAACTATGGATCTACATTGTCAGGCAGTAGCTATCAAAAACTGTGCAGAAACTGTTGACTAGCTGAGCCTGCAAAGACATGCCAACTCATGTTTTTCACTTCCTTCTTTTATGTACTTGACAGAAAAACGATTGAAACTATATTAGGTTTGCCTGCATAGGATGAAGTCTGTTTTTTTCTTCCTCATAAATATGCTCTATTTCCACTTTCCATGAATTAGGTCTACATAAAGTATCACAGGTTATACAAAATTTGCAGGCATGCCTAGTCACCTTGTCACTGCCTGGATGACTTATAAAATGTCCATGGGTAGGATGTAGGAGGTAAAACACTTAGCAAGCTTAGATTAAGTTTCCAACTATGTTTCTAGGCAAAGTGCTATCTCTTCAATCTTCCTGGTGTCTAAAACGTTTTGGCATGCACAGTGCATGTGCAGTTTGGTAATTAAATTTGTTTTTAGTATTACTAGTGTAAGAGCATGCACCTCTGCGCTACGCATGTGTGCAAGTAAGTGTTAACCATATATGATATATGGTATTTGGATTTAATTTTAATGATTTGCACAGAATCCAAGGCAAGTATCTGCTTTATATGGTATAGATAGATGAGTGATAACTTATTTGAAGCACTGTATCATTGTTTTCTATGTGCATTCAATAAGTCATGAATGCACAAGGCTGCCATTGAAGTAGATCTTCTATAGAATATTCACTTAAAAAAAGCATATATAGTGCTTGATGACACTCCAGTAGGGCTGATCAAATACCTTTTCTGTTTTTCTAAAATATGATCAAAATAAAATGTTGGAATTTTTTCTTAAGTATGATCAAACAAAATTGCCAGTGTAGTCGCTAAATGGCTATTACCAATTTTCCCATATTTGGAACAAGAAGACAAAAAGAATTTCACACTGGAAATGTAGATACCTTGGAATGATGATGATGAATTGCTGGCGGCTTGGAGGGAGGCTCGGACAGGCTACCCTTGGATTGATGCCATCATGGTCCAGGTCTGTTATATTCTGTGCTTTTCTGTTTTCAACCTATTAATATGTAGCTTTAGGTATTCAAACCTAGGTGTCAGTTTTCTCATATTTCAATTGTCAAATCAGCTAATTTGAGGCCAGTTTATGTTTTGATATGATAGTTGCAAAGGTGGGGTTGGATGCACCATCTTGCACGGCATTCTGTAGCATGTTTCCTGACTCGTGGAGATCTGGTACAAGACATTGATACTCTTTAAGCATGACATGATGTAATTTCCTTCATCTATTTTTTCTTGATATAAAGTGTGTCTGTCTATAGTTTATTCATTGGGAAAAGGGGCGTGATGTTTTTGAGAGATTGCTGATTGATTCAGACTGGGCCATAAATAACGGAAACTGGTTATGGCTCTCTTGTTCCTCATTTTTCTACCAGGTAAGTTTACTTAATTTTCATCCATTCTCATGATTATATCTTGATGCACTTGTTTCAAATTACACTGAACTAAGTCGTCGTGATCTATACTGCTTAACTGATCAGTATAATCGTATCTATTCCCCAATCTCATTTGGGAAGAAATATGATCCTAATGGGAACTACATTCGACACTTCGTCCCTGTACTGAAAGGTATGCAACTAGCTCCTGCATAGTTACACCATTTGTTCCCCACCCATTGGTGATTATCTAGGGCCTTCTTAAGGTCAAATGCGTAACTAATACTACCTTCAGATATGCCAAAGGAGTACATATATGAGCCATGGACTGCACCATTAACTGTTCAAACCAAAGCAAATTGCATAATTGGAAGAGATTATCCTCATCCAGGTCAGCTTTCTCAAAGTAGCTTTAAGACCAGTTACAGAACATAATGCATCATTATTTAAATCATAGTCATCTTGTGATACTATCATGCATTTAACCTGTGACTTAGTGAATTTAACCATGTTGGGGTTGCACAACAGTACAAGTGAACAGTTTCATCTTTTTGCAATGTTAAGCTATTCCTCATAATTTCCAGAACTTAGAAACTGCTGTCAAAGATATATATTCTTGTGAAAATCTTTTGATGTCCAACAGATATAATCTTTTATGTTATTATGATTATTAGACATGTTTTTTTTTGAGATTTCAGGACATTAATTTATTCCTCAATATTGCATGGGTACAGACACAGGAATCAGAATTTGACATGTGTCCAGGAGTTTGACTGAGCAAGACAAAAAATAAGGACTTATCTACACGTTTAAAGAAGTTTAAAATAACCCCCCCCCCCCCTTTTTTTGAAGCAAAAGTTTTGTGGAAATAAGTAGTAATATCTTTAATAATTCACAGCTTGGATTGTTAAATTTCTTTAGACAATCCACTAATCAAAATAATTTTGGTTTACTATTTAATATTGGGGTGGAATCCAAAGAATGCATCGACTTTTTTAACTATTTATTATTTCATCCTATGTTTATATTGTTTCAGTGGTTGCTCATGATTCTGCAAGTAAGGAATGTAAGATGAAGATAGCAGAAGCTTATGAGTTGAACCGTAAAATGAATGGTTTGGTGAGTGAAGAAGATTTGAAGGGCCTACGGAGAAAGTTCGAAGAAGATCAACACCAGGTCTCTAAATCTAGAAGGCAGAAGCAAAAGTTGATCAGCTGAGCTCAACATTGTTGTCACTTCAGCTGTCATCATGGAAAATAGGGCCCACTGTTGTGTTTGATTTATGATATTGCTGGAACCAATAGGAGCACATAATTTCATACCAGTTAATTCCAATTTATTTATGTTGCTGACTACAATTTATTGACCATCTAAAAGTGATAGATCAGATAGTGAGTATGCTCCTAGCAAGTTCTGTTAGATTAGATGGTTGATTTCGGTTACTGTATACATGCTATATCACATGCTTTAAAAGGATAGCATGTTTTTATCCTTGAGATGGGGATTGGGGAGAAAGGAGAGTAATCAAGTGGCGCAATTCAACCCTCCTTCTCTCTGTAATTTCCTAGTTTCGAGATTCTGCACCATATCACATTCCTGCAAGTTCCGGTTTGGAAAGCGATTATCGATAAGCTCCATTCTGCCTTCTATATTATTTTACAATAGACCAACTCTCCCGTGTTCTTATTCCACTATAATTGAATTTTCCAGAGAGTATCTGTTACCCGGGAAACTGATACCCTCCTGGAGGGCACTCCGGATCTCCTGCCCACAAGAACTCTGCTCACGCCTATCCACAATACACTACCCCCCGTGAATTGGGAACATCTCCCCCTGCATAATACTATGCAGAGGATGAGATGTTCTCCATGTGTGACTGCGATAAACGTGAACAGAATTCTCGTGGGCAGGCGATCCAGACTCCCTGGAGGGTGGTAAGTTGCTTATCCATCCGCCAAAAACACTAATCCCTTCCCACCCATCTCTTTACCCGGATAAGTGAAAACACAAAGAACGTTGGCAAGCATGTTACTCGGATACCGGAAAACGAATAAGGCTTTGGTGTAAATCGGTTTCATTGCCCAATTTCAATATGGACTACAGTTGATTGAGTTTAACTGGTGTATCGTCTCGCTCTAGGAGATTTCTTAAGTTCACCCTCACTGACCAAGATGATTCATTTAGGTGACTCTCGTTTGTCTTTTGGTGAGCTTCTATGACCCCAAAACACCCCAAAGCAACTAGAATTTGTTTCTCAAACCTCACTGCAAACCATTTTAGCAAATAATTACATGCCAGCATTCCATACTGATGTGGGATATCACATTAGTATCTCATACTATCAATGTGGGACAAATGGATCGTAACAGACTCCTACACCGTCGATACAGCGCTCTGTGAAAAGATCATGAGTTTCTCGTTCATCTTTCAAACACTTCCAAGAAGGCATCTTTTTTGTACTCTCCGTCGTTGACTCCTCCCTTGAAGTTGGATAAGATGGTTCAGATTCTACGAGTGGTTCCACTTCTCTGTACCTTATTCAAGTTCCAAAGATTCTCACATTAATCCAGATTCTATGTGGTAATCTTCATGTCTACATGCATGACTCATTAAATGGGTGTTGTTTTCATTCTTTTCTTTTTTCAGGTTGCAGCTCCCTCATGTTTGTTTTTCTTTATCCAGTTTTGTTCTCATCAATTATACGGGATAAATCTTCTTCTCTGTTCTACTTGTTGCTCATCTGTTTCCAAACCAAAAGAGATGGGAATATATTGTCTTTGTAGCAGGGAACTCCTTAAATCCAAATATAAGCAGATTTTATGTATTAATTGCTTAATTGTTACTTCTCCTTGAGCAGGAACTGCAGGAAATGACGCTGGTTATTAATTTGGTTAATCAGACCAGCTTCAAAATTCCCACGGAGTTAATATTAATGGATCCTGAATCCGAGTTCAGCGTGGAACACGAGGTCTTGGATCCCGAAAAGCAAAATGGAGATGATGAAGCTGATAGGTTTTAATCGGTTGGCCTCTTTGGTGAGGCATACGTTGAGATGAACCGTAACCGGGTTCTGGTTATCCTGAATTTTTAATTGGGTTCAGGATGAAAGTATATCCAGAGTATAGTGACGACTTGGATATGGATATGAATACATTAGGGAGATGAATGATATTGAAACTCTTGGATATATTAGTGAAATGCATAATAAATATATTAATTATACTAAATCTAAAATTGAATTACCCATGAATGAGCAATAAAATAGATCTAATACATGAAAAATACACACTTTAATAGGTTATATGAAGAGAAAAATTATAAATAATAATACCGGAACACTAAAACATGTACGCATCATATAATAATTATCACTTATAATTTTTATTTTTTATTTTTTGTAACAAATATTTATTTATCATTTTATAATAATAATAATAACTATTTTTGCAAATAATAAATATGTTTTAATTTTTAACATATAATTATAAAGTAAAACATATAAATAGATAAGATATTTTTTATAATTTTCAGTTTTTATTAAATTTTTAGAGAAAATTAAATCTTAAATTATTTGTTTCAGTTTTTAATTATAATTTTCATTTTTTATTAATTTGGTTGGGAAATTTTATTTATTTAGTAGTTTATATAAATAATAACTCTATTCTTTCAAAAAAATAAATATGTTTTAATTTTTAACATATAACTTATATGTAAAATAAAACATATAAATCATTTAAGGTAGACAAAATAAATTATTTTTATTAACTTTCAGGTCTTATTAAATTTTGGGGAAAAATTAAATCTCAAATTATTTATTGCAATTTTTATAATTATAGTTCTATTCCAATTTTTATAATTATAATTTGGGTAAAATACAAAATCCTCTCTTGAAGTTTCTCAATCATAAAAACCTCCCCTATAGTTTTACTTTAGCAAAAAACTCCCCTCTATTTTTGAAAAATTAAACAAATACCTCCCTTCCATCAAACCAAGACGGAAAATGTTAATATGCATCTATTTTTATTAAAATAGCCCTATCTCGCCAACTCCATAATCCACTTGAATACTGTTCATCTTCTTCCTCATTAGTCACAACGGCAAATGGTGGGCACTCCCCCTCCAACCTTCCCTCTTCTTTAACTTCCCTCCGATTCTCTCTCTTTCTCCCCACAAACATGGAAGTGGCAATTGAATTCGATCTCCACCTCCGGCCATCTGAACTGTCAGCCGTCCAACGATAGTACTGGGAGTCTGGGATGGTGTACTAGCTCTTAGTGAGGGGAACACATTTGAGAATTCCTCACTAATAACCAGTCTTTGTTCCAACGAAAATGAGATGGATGACAATGTCAGACATCCAACAATGGTACTGGGAATTTAGTTCATCAACGGGAACGATACTCTTTTTTTTCGTTTATTACAGGAGGAAGCATGGCATCGTCCTCGTCAACCTCGACGATTCCTCCGTCAGCTTCGACATCGCCACCGAGCCACTGCTCCATGGGTGCGCACTCCACCTTATGGCACAACTTCCAATCGAGCGTCTGGCACGCCCAAGAATAGTAGTTCACGGTGCTGTACGCCAAGCAACGACAAAATTCATGTTGCCTCGCCTGGACGAGGAACCGGCGCCCCTCGGCGATGTTTTGGCGGACGCCGTAGCCATCTTGCAAACAGAGGACAAGTTCCCGGAAGGCATCGATGTGGCTGAGGAAAGTGGCTCATGCACAGAGAGCGACGCCGGCTTGAAGGTCATTGTCGTTCTTGGACCCGCCACTGCCATTGAACTGGATAACAGCAAGTGAATAAAGCGCTGGAGCGTGAGAGCTAATGGCCGCTTTAGCCATCAGCGACACCCCATTTCCTCGGTTCTGTAGACAATAGAAACAGATCTGCAATCAATAAGAAAGGCTAATTAGATGATCATTTGCGAGGCTCAGTAACAAAATAAATATTTATACAATTTTTCTTTCATCTGCAAACTTAGGTAATAATGTACTAACCATGCCAAGCGTATAATAGGCTTAGATGTTTCCAGCATCTGCACACTGTTTCAAGAAGCGATGAGACGATTCAAACCAGTTCTTAGATTTCACGGCGAAGGCTTTAGGAGATGCTTTCGACAACATGAGGGGATGAAAGCCTAAACCGTTCAGTCTCTTGCACCTGTTTAGGAGACAAAACGAGAAACAATTGAGAAGGTAGAAAAATAGTTACACAACGAAAAGAGAGCTCTTTTTTTTCATAGCACTAATTTCAAAAGAAAGCTTTATTTGAGGATGAAGAAACGTCGATCCGTAGAAATTCAAAACTTGTTATCAACAACTGAAAACAGAATATTTCCGACTAATGTTCTATACCAGAATCACCTCTTCGGCGATAAATCAATTATTTTGTTGTATTTCCACAGAGCAAATCTTCATTACCAGAAAGGAAATGAAAGAGAACCGATATAAAACAACGGTTAGAGAGAGAAAGAGGGGTGTACGTTATGAGAACATTAATGAAATCGGAAGGGCAACGAGTGGTGGAACTGAGCTTGCAGAGGATACAAACGATAAGGTCGTTAGGCAAACCATCAAAAAAATCTGATTCTCTATCGTTTCCCGGCGCCGTTCTCATCCTTTTCTATTCAAGCATCACTTCTCCACGGGGGAATCCCTCTTTCTCTTGAGAGGTGTTTCATCCTTGAAAAACTGGAGCTTATGATCATCAAGTTTGGTTCTCATATCGATCGTCTGCACTAGAGAAACAGAAGCAGGGAAATGTGGTGTTTATATAAGGAAGAAGAAAAAAAAGCTCTCCTCCAAGAGAGATATGACAGCACCAACGAAATTCCTAGTACCATCTTTGGACGTCTGACATTGTCATCCATCTACCGTCATGGTTGCCCACCCATTAAAGAAGAGGGAAGGTTGGAGGGGGGAGTATTCTACCGCTATGCGTGGTGAGGAAGAAGATGAACAGTATTTGAGCGCATTATGGAGTTGAGACAGGGTTATTTAGTAAAAACATATGCACGTTAATTCGTAAAAGCGTAAAATAGGTATTTTGAAAAAATTGTTCATTTTGTTAACATTTTTCATCTTGGTCATTGGTCATTGACGGAAGGGAGGTATTTGTTGAATTTTTAAAAAATAAAAAAAAGTTTTTGTTAAAGTAAAACTGCAGAGGAGATTTTTATGATTGTCAGAAACTTCAGGGAAGATTTTTGTATTTTACCCTTGTAATTTTTATTTATTAAAATTCAAAAAACAATCTAAAAGTGGTCCATATATAATAATACACACGATTCATGAGATACATACATAGTCATGGTGTATCCTGTATCGTGCCATGGATACAGATAGATACTTCAAACCTTAGGTTCAATCAAAACGTGCAATAGGATTATAGGAGAGACTGAATTTTATTGAAGACTTAGTGTAGAGAATATAAAAGAACACTCAACCAATCACAATATGCCACATCATCCCACCCATGTGTACAAGGCTGACGTGGTCTGTCGTGATATGCCTATTATTACGAGTAGAATTGTAGAGTGTAGACGATTTGAACTCAACTCCTGGGATCAAATGGCTGACATCTTCCAAGCAGTTGATCTCCAATTGATTATTTCTAGCCATAAGCCTAATAATGTTCCAATGCTGGAAGAGAGAGCTAAATATCTCTGATGAAATATGGACCTATCACGATGAAATTTCTGGTATACTTGCCACCATATATACCCTCTTTTCTCTACACGCCTAATCAAGAACTGAGGAATGAGTAATTTGATAACTAAGTAGCTATCTATTGCTTTTCCTCTTTGGTTCCTTACAATTCAAGGCTTCACCCAATCAATCTGATTAGTGATTACAAGTTTCAACTTCATCATAGAAGGATGAAATTAGAAATAGCCCAAATGAGCACCTAATTCCTGGGGATGTTCTGATCTTCCGGGTTTTGGCTTTCGTTAGTACCAGTTTTTGTGCAGGTTTTGTATTTAAATCAATTACATACTGAAGAGTGAAAGATACCTTTATATTCAAATCAATTGCAGAAATATATTAATTGTTTCTCAAATAAGAAAGAAAAGCCTGGTTACATTGTATTTTTGTCAATCCAGAGGAAAGAAGAAGATATGGGTCCTCATCTTATTTCAACTTGAGGAGGTGTATTCATTGAGATCAATCAATATACGACAGGAAGATGTATATTAAAAAAAAAACAAAACAAAACAAAACAAAAGGTTTCTTCCATTCTCTTTGAATGGAAGGAAAATCCTCATCCAGATTTGTTCACTGAATATCTTACTGTTCTTCTGCCATCCTGAATCTGCTCTACTTGATCAAAGTTCTTGGGTTTGTTGGATGACGGCAAACCAGTTTGATTACCACGGCGATTGATATTCAAGCCTTTGACTCTTTCAACAATCAGGCCACGTGAATTCATCACATCTACTACTGTAGAACAGAAACAAAAGTATTAGAAAAAGGTGAATTGGGAGAATTGGAGTACAGATTAAAAAAGCTTAATGACTGATCACGAGAAAGAGAGACCGAACTTTCCTCTCAAGAAATTGACAATGAGTTTAGGGAATGAAAGTCAATTCACGTCTTTTTTTCCTGGATCTACTCTTTCCTTGAATCTAACTCATGCATTCACCAAAAAGAAAAGATCAAGCTTCCTCACTTAAGATTTCTCTTAAAAGCAATGCTAAAACAATGTAATTAGACTTCACTTAACTAAAGCAAAGGGTAAGGCAAATATTCAGAAATCTGTTCCCCTTAAATTTATTTTCATTTTTTCTCTTCCAAAAACGAAAATCAGGATCCTGAAACCATTAGTAGCTTAGTGGGTGGACTTTTTCTTTGCTCAAACAGAGAACCATTTTCCCTCTCATGGAAATAAACTGAGCTCAACTACCTAATCTTCATTTGATGATAAAAACAAGAATATGAGAGACAAAGAACAGAAAAAAGGGATACCCTTGATTCCATCCCGGGAAAAAAGTGCACAAGAAATAGATGAAGAATTAAGAATACCATTACCAATCTCCAGTGGTACTATCAATCTAAAAGGTTTCCTAACAGAGCTATTATATCAAAATTAATTAATTTCTGTCTTCTGTTACTCAACTTTACTCATCTACGAATACCCAATAAATAAAACAAGAAAAACTTTCAGGAGAAACTAAAATTGGTTTCTGGGTCAATCATGTTTTACCTGGATGAGAGAATAACCATAGAATGATAGCGCAGAGAATTAGAACTAGTGGTATTAGGTGAACTGCATTCTCCCCGGATGACTTGGGATGGGAACCAGCTTCTTTTTTGTTAGTATCAGAGATGGGATCATATCTTGGGAGGTCATCAACGTGCACAGTTTTCAGGCCTGTAGAACAACACTTCACAGCAGGTGATATGTTGATTAAGAACTCATCGGAGGCTCGAGATGTGCTCGCTGACCTATGCATCTTTAACGAACAGAACAGAACAGAAACTCGGATGTAATAAAAACAGACAGGAACAGAGGAAAACAGAAAGCATAAAAATTAACAAATCCGAGTAGATTTTATTGAAGAAGAGGAGGAAAGGAAGGAAGAAGAACTAAAGAAAGAATGTGACAGACTGGGGCTGGACTTGTGGGGGTTTCTGAAAGCTGAATTCAAGGAAAAAACAGTGAAACACCTTTGCTTAATTGCTTTCAGTTTCAGAGCCCAGAAAAGGTTCGAGTGCGAGAGAGAGAGAGAGAGAGAGAATCTGTTACCAGTTATTTATTAACAGTGAGCCAGTGACAAGTGCTCGTGCTTTCTTGTTGAGCTCGAAAGTTGAACGTTGAGAAACGTTTCCTGAATCAAGGAAAAACAACAGAAAAAGAAACGTTTCTTTGTTTCCTTCAATTCGAGAGTAACTAACCAATTTTGGAGCGTTACCAAATGGAGTAGAGAATCGAGATCGTCTGCAGCAGTACAGATGCGGACGAAGACAACCAGCAGTTAAACTCGGATCGGAATCTTTTGCTCATCAAGATTTGGTGAAGCGTAGTTGTGTTCAAGATAAGGAATTTTCTATCTTAAGTCTTAACCTTGTAAAGAAGACGCCAGCTGGCCGCTTGCTCTAATAGGAAACGGGTATTCTAGCTTGCTTGCTGGGCTATTTAGAGATGTTTGATAGATTGGGAATCTTACACGTGGCAGGGCCTTCAAAACAAGGTGGTCTGTGGAGCGCACGTGGAACATGGCCAATGGATGACTTGTCACTGATCGGTCCGATCCGATCCATGGCCCAGTGATCAATGGCATGGCTGTCAATGGCCATTGAATCCAGTCAGTTCAACTACTGAACCGTTTGGCCCAGTTAATTAGGGCTTTAATGTATAAACGGATTGGATTCAGCACTATCCAAAGCCAGATTAATGAATAAATGAAATCCTATCTTGAAGTTTTAAAATCCAATTGAGCCTGTCGGACTTGTATCAGATTTGGATTTAATTCGAATGTTTGGTTTTTTTGTAAATAAAGAAACAAGTTTAAATTTTATATATTAAAATTAATGAATATTATAATATAATTGTATTCAGATTTTAATTGGATGGGATGTTGAATTGGATTTAGAGTCAGTTGACAACCCTACGGTTAATGGGTGATGGATCAAAGGTTGGGCATTAATTCTCAGCCATCCATCATCCCAAGCTTTAAAGAATGCAAACCCAGCAGCATTCTCTCTGTGACTTCCTCCATTTTGATCTGAACGTTTTGAGCATAGTACTCGACGTTCAAGATTATTCACCTGCCCAGTTCTGCTGATTTAGGCCATGTTTGATTAATTGATTAAATTCTCATTCTTGTTCATGTTTACCTAGAATGATTTCTTAGACTGGCCAAAAAATGAGCAGAATGAGAAAATGTTAATGTGAATCAAACACTTTTATTATTAAAAAAGAAAAAAAAAAAGAGAATTCTTTTTGTGACAAGAATGAGAATGAATTTAAACCGATTTGATTGCAAATTTACATTCATTTCATTTACCAATCAAAATAGGGAGAACGACGGTTCAGCCCTGGATCAGAATTTGTAAGCTCAAAGTACATTTGAGGTAGGTATTAATTCGGAATTGATGCTAATTTACGGGCTTATGGGGGCATAGAGTGTGAGTTTTTGAGATTTTGAATGTTTATAACTCTGCAGTAGAAATCAGAGATCTGCATTGGTCCAGTCTGTACTTCTCCGATCAAAATAATATAATGGGCTACAATCTAAAGAAACAAATTTATACGAAGAACCTTAAAAATTGATTTGGAAAAAAATAAACACATTCTCATTGGGGTGCTGGGATCAGGGATCAGCATTTCAATCATCTAGGTCAAATGGATCATCCCATAACATCAGAAAATTGGGTTCAAATGATTTAATGGTTTTATTGTTGGATCACCAAGTCTTTGACTAAGCCAACGCTTTTTAGCAAGCGAATGATTCGAGGTATGAACGACAACGGGGTGGAGCAACACTGGGTTTTACATGCCCTGTCCCATTCTCGAATTTGATAATATATCATCTATGTATATGTATGCAGGCACACTGCACACATTCTTAGTTTGGGAAGGGTGGACAAATAAGAAATACCATATCGCTAGTTGAAAAACATTGATGATAATCTAGGATAAATCTGTGTGGGAAACAAGGAAGGTGATTGGGACTGACCGTGAGACAAATGGAATCTACCTACTTGGAGGAAGTGTTCATCAGGAAGATAGTGAAACCAATAAATCATTTGTTTCTTAGTCTGTTGATCAGGTGATGCTTTGGCATAATAGGCTGGGTCATTTATCCTTTCAAGCTTTAAAGAGTTTGTTTCCTATTTTATTTGATTATGTTCAGATGTCTAGTTTGAAATGTGAAAGTTGTGAGCTTGCAAAACATTGCAGGACAACCTATTCATTAAGTAATAGCAGAAGCAATATTCCTTTTGAAATTGTGCATACTAATGTTTAGGGACCGTATCATACCACATCCATGGGGGGGTACAGATATTTCCTATTATTTGTTGATGATTATACTCAATTTTCTTGGGTTTACCACTTTACCTTATGCGTTCTCGAGATGAGGTTTCTGCATTAACCTGGATCTTTCATCAAATGATTTTAACCCAATTTGATGTTAAAATTAAAATTTTTAGATCTGGTAATGCAAAAGAATATTTTGCAAAACCCATTAGCCTCTTACATGCTTGATCATGGGATTATCCATCAAAGTACCTGCCCACATACACCACAGCAGAATGGGGTTGCTGAAAAAAAGAATAGACACATATTGGAGGTAGCTAGAGGCATTATGTTTACCTCAAATGTGCTTATACATTTTTGGGGGGATGTTGTTCTTACAGCTGTTTATCTCATCAATCGGATTCCCTCACAGGTTGTTGACATGAAAACTCCATTTACCCTTTTATTCCCTGATAAAGAATTGTTTACCATTCCCCTCAAAACCTTTGGGGTGCACTTGTTTCGTTAAAATCCTTGGCCCTCATCGTTCCAAATTTGATCTCAAGGCCTCCAAATGTATTTTCCTTGGTTATGCCCAAACTCAAAAGGGATATTGCTGTTATGAACTGACTTCTGGAAAAAGATTTGTCTCAATGGATGTCACCTTCTTTGAGGATAAACCCTATTATCCAAGGGTTTCTCCTCAAGGGGAGAATAGTGAAGCTGAGAGTAGCTCATTGGAATTTCCTTTTCCAATCCCATTAAGTGAAGAATGATGTAATGAAGAAGGATGTCAAAGGTGCAAGGATGTGAGAGTCTATCACTAACGATAGAGACAGGTCGATTTTGGACATCAGCAGTGCAGGCCAGTCCCAGTCCCCTCTGTAGATCCAGATCCCGGTACCACAGTAGCCTCAATTCCTTATCCAAATCCAGATCCAGGTACCACAGTAGCCCCAATTCCTTATGCAGATCCAAATCCAGGTACCACAGATACTACAGATGAGAGACATCCAACCATGGAGCCTTCACCTTCATTCAGTGACCTTGATCTCCCCATAGTAGTCCGTAAAGGCAAACGTCGTTGTACCATAACTCACTGCATTTCTCAGTTCCTATCCTATGACCATTTGTCTCCCTCCTACAAGTTTTTTTCTCGCATCCATTGCTAATATTCTCATTCCCAGAACAATACAAGAAGCATTGGAAGTACCAGAATGGAAAGATGCAATAAAAGTAAAAATGGATGCCCTCATCAAAAACAATACCTGGGAGATAGTTGATCAACCCAAAGGAAAGAAACCGGTTGGATGTAGATGGGTATTCACTGTGAAACAAAATGCTGATGGTTCTGTTGAAAGGTATAAGGCCCGATTAGTTGCAAAAGAATTTACTCAGACATATGGTATTGACTACTTAAAAACTTTTGCACCAGTAGCAAAGATGATCACTATCAGAGTACTATTATCTCTTGCAGCTAGTTACTTTTGGCCATTGTATCAGATGGATGTTAAAAACGCCTTTCTCAATGGAGACTTGCAGGAAGAAGTTTACATGTAGTTGCCTCCATGATTTTATGGTACGGAGACAGGAAAAGTTTATCGGTTGAACAAAGCTCTATATGGACTAAAATAGTCCCCCAGAGCATGGTTTGACAGATTCAGACGAGCCCTTGATAGGTTCGGATATGTGTAGGCTCAGTCAGACCACACCCTGTTTATTAAGAGAGTGGGTTCCTCCGCAACCATGCTTGCCGTGTATGTGGACGATATTGTAGTAACCGAGAGCGATACTAGTGAAATTGAGTATCTTAAGCAATTTCTTCATCAAGAGTTTGAGGTAAAAGATATGGGGGAACTACGATACTTCTTGGGCATTGAGGTAGCTAGATCCAAGCATGGGATTTTTGTCTCTCAACAAAAGTATGTTCTTGATCTGCTAGAAGAAACAGGAAAATTGGAGTTTAAGCCTGCAGACACACCTATTGAACAGAACCACAGGATTAGTGCAGAGGGTGGAGAGCCTATTGAAGATAAAGCTATGTTTCAACGGTTAGTTGGAAAGCTTCTCTATCTTGGGCTCACAAGACTTGACATCGGTTATGCAATCAATGTAGTTAGTCAATATATGCACTCTCCTAGAACTACTCACCTCCTTGCAGTTGAAAGAATATTAGCATATTTGGAGAGGTCCCCAAGCAGAGGCATTTTGTTCAAGAAAAATGATCACATGAAGATAGAAGTCTACACAGATGCTGATTGGGTTGGGTGTGTTGATGACCGAAGATCTACCTCTGGATATTGTGCCTTTGTAGGAGGTAATCTGATCTCCTAGAAGAGTAAGAAACAAAGTGTTGTTTCTCGTTCAAGTGCTAAAACTGAATATAGGTCAATGGCAAATGGTGTGGCTAAGATTCTATAGTTGAGATCATTACTTAAGGAATTGAGTATTGTTTATGAGAAACCCCTAATATTATACTATGATAATCAGACTGCCAACAATATAGCCCATAATCCAGTACAACACAACAAAACTAAACATATCGAAGTGGACTGGCATTTTATCGAAGAAAGGGTTACATCTCAAGAAGTATGCCTTCCCTACATCACCTCCG